ACTGGTTCAGGGCCAGTCTCCCGCGCCCTAGTGGCGCGGGGTTCCGACGGGCGTCGGCGCCGATATCCGGGGCCTCCTTTGGTTGGGCGCAGGAAGATATAGTTGATCCTCGCGATGATCACGAGCGACGCCGCCGTCCTCTGGGCGCGCGCGCCGGGCGTTCTTTAGCTGCGGGCTCGAGATTCGGTCGGGCAGTGCGAAATCCCGCGGCCCCGTTCTGCCCCTCGTCTGCGCGCCGAGGCCAGTCGTCCAGAAGTCGTGCCGCCATCGGTCGGATTGGCGCACTGCTTCGATCATGGCAATCGCCCCGATGGCCTTGCCATGGCGGGCATTGGCAATGACCTGCCCGTCTGAAGTCGCGCTCGTCAACGAGCAGGCGCCGTTCGGCACGTCGGTCGAGCACATCGGGCGCGCGGGTCGAGCGACCTCGACGCGCGCGCCCGCGCCGTCTGCGAGCGCCCTGGCCACGCGGTCGCGCGGGCCCAAAGTCGGGTCGGGCGAAAGGAGGGGATGGCAAAGAGGGGGGTTGAGAATCAGCTCACGCAGCTAACTTTCCCGGCTATGGGCCCCTCGGCGAGGCCGAAACCAGCTGCATGCAACAAACTCCGCAAACCCCCCTCTCCCAATCCTCCCCTTTCGTCCGGCCCGATAAAGGCGCCTCGACCTCCTCGCGGTGGGCGTGGCGCATATGGGTCGTCGTCACTGTCCTCGTACTCCACCGCGTCAATCATGTCCATGGCAGTGCGCCCCTTGCCGTCACCAGAGGAGTTGTAGGGGCGTGGAGATAATGATTCATGTGCGCCTGGCACCAGTGTCCGTGGGTTCAGGCTCTGGCACGCTGGGCGCGCGGGGAAAGCGTCGTCGCTGCAGATGTTGCAGATACAAGGCATCAGGCCCTTGGAACGCCGAGCGCGCTTGAACGGCAAGATGGTCAGCGCGTGGCTATGGCCGCATTTGTTCCTCGTCGGGTAGAACATATGCAGCAACTGCGCCGTTTCTGATCCACCTTGGGTCCGTTTTCGAAGCCGGGTCGCGATGAGGGCTGCGCGGGATCTGCTGCGAGTCAAAAACATCCCCCGTGACGTCTGCGCCATCGATGCAGCGCGATTCTAGACACCATGTTATCGACGCAAATGAATTGTCGCCGAGGTTACCCCCGCGCGACGACATCAAATCCGCATGCTCGGACAAATCCACTCAGGTTCCAAAATGACACCCTTCTGGATGATATTCCGCGCCGAAGCACGGGCCCCCAGCGCGCCCAAAAGATCAATGCGTTTGTTGATAACCGTCGCGCTCTTCCTGGGCCAGATCCGAAGCATCCAGCGGATCAAAGTATCCAGCGGGTCCCGCGGACGGGCCGCGGGCCTGATCACGTCCTTCGCGTCTCGGTCGCAACGCGAATCGCAGGGCGAGTCGGCGCGCAGTCATGAAGCCGCGCGGCCCATCCGCACCCGGCGAGGACGTCGTCATCATCGTCGCCGTAGGCGCGCGGATTCAGGCAATCAAGATGACAGCGCCCCGTTGAAAGCAAAGAGATTCCACGCGAATCAGATCTGCCCCACCCACGTGAATTTCCGTCGCCGCACTAAGGCAAGTTCGACCAGAGCATCTGCGACTGCATCGTTGCGCCGCGCGCGCGAATGGCATGCTGGGCGCCGCGCAGCTTCCGCGTCTAAGTCGGGAAGCCGAGGTGAATGATCTCGGCCACGTCGGCACAAGGAGAAGGGCCAGGGGCCCGAAGGCGTGAGATAGACGCCATTGGGTCGGGCCTGGCCTCTTCGTCGTCTACCACCTCGTAGTAAGCGTCATGCGTATGTCGCCCTCGAAAATACTGCGGCGCGGTGATAGCGGCGCGCGCGCGGAGCCATGCATCTCGGGTCGAGCCCGCGAGCCGTTGATTGCGGTCGCCATCGGAGCCGCGAAAGCATGGCTGTGCACCCGCAAGCCAGTCGTCGACGGGAAATGATGCCTCCAGCTGGTAGTGTTCCATCACGTCGTGGAATGCGAGGTAGAGGTGACCCTCCGTGGCTTCGGTGAAATACAGGTGCTCGTGGTGGTTGAATTCAGACGAATCGAGGTACTTAGGGATGCCAATCAGGAAAATGTCTGAGGCCGCGGGTTTGGCCTAGCGGATGAGGATGTTCTCGAAGAAGAATAACTCTGTGGCGCGTCGGTCTTCTTGTAGGCTGGATCTTGCCCCCGGCATAGGTAGCGTCGCGACTGGGGGAGATGCCGCCCGCGCCCGCGCCGCTGACGCCCGCCCCAGCAGCGTTTCCCCGCGACGTGGGCGCGCGCGTCGACGAAGGCGCAGCCTGCGTCGCAGGCGGGGCCCCTGGCGGTTAGGTTTCCTTTAGCGCGCTGGCCAGCTGGCGTCGACCGCGAAGCCAGCGTTGGTGTCCCTTCTTGATCTCCAAACAACTCGCTGGTCATATACGTTTCCGCAACATAAGAGTCTGCTTGCTCTGGAGCCCCCCCCCCCCCCCCCGCGAGTCGCGCAATGTGTCCTGGCATGCGTTCGGCAATGCGCCAACGTCGCCCTGGCGCCTCCAAGGTCGTCGCATTGCTGCTGGTTGCGTGGCATCGCGCCGCTCAGCAGCTGAAGTAGCAATGCCACTTCTCATGGCAGCGCGCGGAGGGCCCTCGCGAGGGCGGCAACAGGAGCTAAAAATTGCCGGGGCCGAAGCCTGCTGCATCAGCCTCCATCCTGGCGGCCTCGCGTGGCGAGGACGCCGTCGACGCGCTCGCTCGGCTGCGCGCGCGAGTCCATCACCTCGCCGCCATGTTAGAGTTGCCTCGCCCTCGAGGGCCCTCGGAAATCTGGGCCAGCTTCGAGAGATGCGTAATTAGGTCGGCGCCGGCCCCGTCGACCTCCGCGCCGAAATTGACGGCGGCTGGGGGCGCCCGCGTCGCCAGCTGTGAGGCGAGGCCATGGGTTCCACGCTGCAGGGCTGCCGCCTGTTGACCCAGGGTCATTCGCCCTCAGTGGACGTTTGACAATGCGTGGACCTCACGGATCCACGCTCTGCGCGGCGCTGACCCAGCAGGGTCGCAGGCGGGACTTCGCGTCCAATCTCCCCCTCGTTCGCGGCGCACATGGCCACCGATAGCTCCAACAGCCGCCGCGAGACGGCCGCGCGCGACCATCCCCGGGGAATGCATCTTGCCGAAAGAAGTACAAGAGGTCGGAATAGTTCTGGAAGCACCGGTGGCGCCGGCCGTGTTACCGCGACATGACGGAGACAAACTAAGTTTCGCGAGTCGGCAATCCTGCAGGTCGCACATGAAGGGGCCGTTCGCGTCTCCACGAGCGAATGTGGATAAGGTCGTAAGTGAAGAAGTAGTGGTGGAGGTCGTAGATGCCACAGTAGCGGTCGGGGGTCCTCGCGCTCGGTGCTGACGGAAAGGTGGAAGTAGACGGCGTCGCAGTTGCGGTCGAGGTTCCTCGCGCGCTTGACGTCGACGGAGATGTGGAAACATGTGGCGCCGTAACACCGGTTGAGATTCCTCTCGCGCTCGACGTGGGCGGAGAGGCGGAATTAGATGGCGTCGCGGCATCGGTCGCAGGCCACCTTAACTCCGGAGTGTTGCTAGAGAGGGAGGGAGGGAGGGAGGGAGGGAGAGAGAGAGAGAGGGAAACAAATTGAAAAAGAAAGAGAGAGAGAGAGAGGTAGAGAGAGAGAGGTAGAGAGAGAGGGAGAAAGAGAGAGAGAGAGAGAGAGAGAGAGAGCTCTGAGACGCGCCGGGCACCAGGCCGCCCAGCGAGAAAGCGCGCGTAGAATATGAAGGAGCTGCGCGCCCTCGATACGAAAACTTGCTCGAGGGGGCCGCGTCGAAACATGCGAGATGCCCAGCTTGGCCGAAACAGCTGGCGCTGGACACAAGGAGCACGGGCGCCGCCGGGCCCGCGCGGCGTCGCCCTCAAGCGGGCAGCTGGGCCGCGCCAGCGTGTTGGGCCCGGGCGCGTAGCGGGGGCGTGGGGAGCGGGTTGGGGCGGGGGGCAATTTGTGGTGCTGGCGGAGGGCCGGGGCCTCCAAAGCAAACGCCGACGCGCCCACCACCCAGGACCAGAAGGGCAAGTGAAGGGACCCGCAGCGGCCTTCACCCACGGAGCCCGCAGCGCCCGTGGCGAACATTGCCGCTGCGAGCAGCGCCCGCGGCCACTCCAGAAAGCTCAGCCCCCCGCGCAGTGGCCTCCAGGCCGCCAAGGGCCCCAAAAACCCCGGCGCGGCGTTGCCGCGCGCCTGAGGGCAGCTGAAATTGGAAACTGTTCAAGCACATGGAGCAGAGCGGGAGAACCTGCTCATCCCCGCGTCTTGGGGCCACCGCTTTCGACCACTAGGTTCGCCTCGCCCGGGAGAAGGGGCGACCCGGCGCGCCCGAGCTCCGGCATGAAGGGATGCAGGAGGGCGTGAGGTAATCGCGCGCTTGACGTAAAGGCTGCTACACAGAAGGCCTTCATCTTGTCGCCCGAATTTCCTCGCGCGTCGGAAGTCCACGTGGTCGAGGGAGCGGGCGCACTGGCAGCGCTGGGGTAGGTCCCCACATGGAGGTCGAACTCAAAGTTGACTGCGTTGCTCCTGTTGTCAAAGTCTGGCAGGCACTCGCACTGTGCAAGTCGTATGCCAGAGAGGTGCTCCAAGACATGACTTTGGAATGTTTGTAAGAGTGGAATGGAAGTAGGAGATGGCGATGAGTAGAGACAACTCTCCCAGCACCTCAAATCGAGTACAAGCAACGCCGCCAATACTGGCAGATAGGGCGGCGCTGCATTGAGCCAAGACGGCAGCGGAATCAGGCACACTTACGTTCCCCCCTTGGAGCATACCCTCGAAATACAAGTGTTTCACCCCTGCCGCCCGGGCCGCCAGCTTGTGGCCTCCAGAGGTCCGCGGGGTCCGTTGGAGTCTCCGGGGGGGCCCTTCCGCGGGGTGCAGTGGCCCACCAAACAGCCTCTGATCCCACGCCCGCTGCTCGCTTCGCCCTGCTGCCCGGGCCGCCTGCAGTGGCTCGGCCACCTGCGGTGGCTCGGCCGCCAGCGGTGGCTCAACGTCTACGTTCAGCGCCTCGGCCAGGGCCGAGTCCTTCGCAGCGCGGGGACGGGACGGCCCAGCGTCGCCGGGCTTCGCCATCCAATCCCTCCTCCTCCTCCTCCTCCTCCTCCTCCTCCTCCTCCTCCTCCTCGTGCACTGCGCGACGTTCCCCTGCAGTGCCTTATCCTCATCCTCCTCCTCTTTTTCCTCAAAATCCTCCTCCTCCCCTCTTCCTCCTCCCCGTCCTCCTCCTCCTCCTCCTCCTGCTCCTCCTCACGATCCTTCTCCTCCTCCTCCTCATCATCATCATTCCCTCCTCCTCTTCCTCCTCCTCCTCCTCATCCTCGTCATCCTCGTCATTATCGTCGTCCTCGTCATTCTCGTCATCGTCGTCATCGTCGTCATCCTCGTCATCCTTGTCATCATCATCCTCGTCACCCTTGTCATCCTCGTGATCCTCGTCATCTTCCTCATCCTCGTCATCCCCATCCCCATGTTAATCCTCATCCTCATCCTCCTCCTCCTCCTCCTCCTCCTCCTCATCATCATCATCATCATCATCATCAGCATCGTCATCGTCATCGTCATCATCATCATCATCATCATCATCATCATCATCATCATCATCATCATCATCATCATCATAATCATAATCATCATCATCATCATCATCATCATCATCAGCATCATCATCCTACTCATCCTCATCCTCATCCTCATTATCAATTCCATCCTCAACATCACCATCATCAGCATCATCGGCGTTGTCATACGCAGCATCATCGTCGTCATCATCATCATCATCATCAGCATCGTCATAATCAGAATCATCATCATCAGCATCATCATCAGCAGCAGCATCAGTATCAGCATCAGCATCAGCATCAGCATCAGCATCATCATCATCATCATCATCATCATCATCATCTGCAGCATCCTCATCATCGGTACCAGCATTATCGGCAACATCATCATCATCAGCATCACAATCACCACCATCATCATCAACAGCATCACCATCGACATAATCAGCATCATCTTCAGCATCAGCATCAGTATCATCATCATAATCAACAGCATCATCCTCGTCATCAGTATCATCATTGTCATCATAAGTATCATCATCATCAATATCCGATTCCACCTCTTCCTCCTGCTCGAGAGGCGGAGTGCAGCGGCAGGCACATAATGTTCCGCCAGTTTTCGGTTCCCGCCAAAATAATTCCTCTTTCTCTCTCTTTATCTCACTGTTTGGATGGTCTCTCTCTCTCTCTATAGATCTCTCTCTCTCTCTCTGATATCGTTTGCCGTCTTCTACCGTGGGCTTGTCCATCATAACTGCTTAGGCTCTGGCTCGCTAGTGTCGCGCAGGTGATCAGGTCATGAGCGAAGGCCTCGTTGCAGAGCCAATTGGGCGCATATTGGACGAGAAAGGATCCTCCTCCACCTGTACTGTGGACCGGATGACAGCCAACGATGCTGCATCATGATCCATATCGTCAATCATTATCCTCTCTTCTCTTCTCGTACTTGGGCGCTCCGTGGGTGAGGAGGTGCGATGGCCCGATCCAGATCCGCAGGGACGTCGACGGGCTGATGTCTTGGGCCCAGTCGCGCCGACCTTGGGAAGTCCAAGACCAGGTGCCCTACAAATCGTTGTGGACTGGGCATTGCAACGAGTGGTGGTCATTGACACGTCCGCTCGCGGCGATCGCTGTGCTTATGGGTGCGTTATGTCCGCCTGGCATAACGTGGGAGCGCAGCTCGCCATACTCCAGCTAGTCACAACGCTCAGTGTGGCACGGCTACGTTGGGCGATGCAGCACCCACTCCCGCCGAGATGGCACTCGACGGGCCCAGGAGTGTCCGCAGCAATCCCACAGCCAAATTCACTAATCAAGGTCCACTGGCGGTGCCTGGCGTCGCACGAAAACCCAAGCGAGGCTGGGCGGCGCATGATAAACCGGTTTGTATTTGGGGAAGGCCCGTCTTCAATGACAACGCGGTACAGGACTGCAGAGGCGGCTTGTCGAGCATCTTTGCATGTTGCTCTGGCCAGGCTCTACAGCCGTGGGCGCCCTTCCACAAGATGTGATAATGCGCAGGAGCCTAGCGTCAGCATGATTTCTTCCGCTTGTCCCTCGATGCTCGCACGTGGCCTGCACGGGCGGCGGAGACGCTGCTCATTCGCATGACTGCTCCACGGCGCACCGCGGTGGAGGCGAAAGTCAATGCGCCGCGCCGATCTCTCCCACAACACATTCGAACTCGTTCCCAATCGCGCCTCTGGCCGTTTCCTCGCGTCGGGATGCGATCCTCGCCTACAACGAATGCGTGGGAATCACCGGTCACACGACAAATCTTTGCGACCCGGCAGGACCACCTTCGTGATGCCAGGACCGAATCTTCCTGCATGTGGAGCTCGTGCGAGTGCGTGGCCAGCACTGGGCAGCACGGCCCATTTGAATGTGTTTCACAAGGTATGAGCTGTTGTTCTTGGCGCACCTCTCGGCAGGACGACCACCAATTTCTCTTCCGGAAATCTAGCGGCGCTTGGAATCCGATTATTCATATTATTGTGCGAATATGCTTGAGAAGGTTGGCCCTGGGAATTCTGCGCGCATTGCAATGCGATCGCATATCGCAAGGCATTTGCGGTGTCTTGGGTGCCAACCTCTCCGTGTACTCCCTCTCACGATCAAGCCGGGTGCATCGCGCTTCGAGAGTGATATCGCGAGCTTTGCTCTCAGTTCGGTGCGTCCCTGCCCGGAGATGGTTGCAACGATCGTTGTCGGTCGCCACTACTCGGGCGCCGCTGTGGCAGGACAGGTTCAATGCAAACGCTTCGATTCGAAGCATGGTTGCTCACGATTTTGTAGGTTTCTCGTGGGGGGCGTGGGGGACGGCGGCGGATGCACCATCCTTGAGGGCTGCTGGCGGTGATTGGCGTCTGCTGGTTTGGCCGACAACCAGGCGCGTTCGTGCTCGCCTCCAGCCTCGGATGAACTCGTGGGCTCAGCGCCCCCACTCGCGCTGCCAAGCACGCCCAGCGAGGCGCGGGCGCAGCGTCGGCAACAATCAGTACTCATCTCCACCAGACCGGCGGCAGGAGATCGAGATCAGCATGCAAAAGGCGATTTCGGACGGGAATCTCATTCTCGGCGACGATAAGGATAAGAACGAAGTGTGGACAGAAAGGGCCTTCCAAGGTCTTTGTGCACCTCCTGCATGCTTCACTTCGGGACCCGGCATGCGAACTCACGAATTTGTCAGGGCATGATGTCGAAGTGTTTCTTTGGGCTCGCTTGCAATGGGGGCTGCCTCGGTTCCTCTGCCAGCAGCGCCAGCCGTCAGCGCGGGCGGTGCCATCGATGTTCCCACTGGTAAAATAAAGTGCTGCGAGGATCAAGGCTTCAGACAATGCTAGAAGCACTTGCATTATGTTGGAGGAGGATGATTGATACGTCAAGGACTCCGATTCAGAACTCCTGGCAGTGCGTGGCTCGGTGCGCAAAGGCCGTTGTCGAGTTGTCGCGGCTGTCCCAGGTCTTCTGCCTTCGGGATATGCGCGGTGCCTTGGACGAGCTTTTCGACGGCTTGGAGCGGCCGCCACAACGCAAGTGCGTGCGATGTGGTGTCCCGTTGCGCGGCTGCGTGTCTCTACTCCGTAGTGGTCCTGCTGGATGTTGACCAGGCATTCGAAGCTGATTGCACTTCGGAAGTGCTGAATGCATGGGCGGCATTTGCTAAAATCCTACCAGTCAGCGTCTGGTGAACGCATATTTGTGGTTAAGGGCAGCAAGAACGAAGTCAGTACAGAAATATCTGAATATGGCCACAGGTGGCGAGCGTTTCCCTTGCTAGAAATGGCACAAGACCTTTGGCAGACGTTAATCTAGGGACAATGGGATTCGCTTGTTTGGGCATGCCTATCGGGGGAGTGCTCCGCACCGTATGTGTCGCGATTGTTATTGGCCATCAGGAGTCCAAGCTCTTCCAGGACCACGCCAAGCACAACATCATGGGATTCAATGTTTCGGGATGGCCAGTCAAATCGTGCATCTCTTGGCGCCGATACGTCGATAACAATCTGGAGGCAAGTCGATGCTGATGCTGCTCATGCCTCACTGCCTCTGTTTATGAGTAGTTCCAGGAGCGTCTGTCCGTCACTGGCCGTTCCGACTCCCCTGGATTCGGCGTCCAGTGGGTGGATGTCGAACTACGGGTGGTAGGGCAAAACGTGTTGGTGCCTTTCAAACATGAACTAGCGATTGCTGCATCGACGCGGCGAGCCTCTGGACGAGCCAATACTAAATTCGCCGCTGGTTGCCCCCTGGCTGGGTCGCCCGCCGAGGAGCTGCGCATGTCTACGAGGCAGTATTTCGTGTCGATTGGCACGGTGTGGGCAACTGGGCATTGACAGAGAGCCCACCACTGTTTATCTCACCGGATCCTTCCTTGAGCTCCACATCCTCTCCGACCCCCATCACCATCATTCGGGCTCTGGCGCGCAGCCTTCCGCCTGCTAAAATCGCATCCAGCAATCCACGCGTGCTACGAAACACTGCACGTCTGTCGTACGGCTCGCGCCGTGGATCGGCGCGACGACGGCGGCCACAGACGTCGGCACTCCTCTCGGCAGCCACCTGGCGGGCCAGTTGGCAGCAACATCGCGACTGGCGTCCCGGCCGCGTCGAGAGCCGGGAGGACAGGCATGGGCAGTAAGATCGGGAGCACCGCCGCCGCTGCCGCTCTCGCACATTGTTATCGTCGTCGGAGCGGTCCCAGGAGAAGCGCGAGAAGAGGAGGATTGCTAAGGCGAGGTCGATCATGCGGGCGGCATCGCCTGGGCACCAGGAGAGCGTGGGAGGACAAGGAGCACCAGGAGCAGGACCGCGACGTGCAGCAGCAAGGGAAGCTGCTGGCGGAGGCTCTCGCGGACAAGTTCTAGGAGGCGGTGAAAGCCGCAATCCCAACTCCCGTCTTCCAGCGGGCGTCGACAGCGGGCGATGCAGGCGTCAAGAATGGATCCGTCACGCCTGTGGCGTGTC